CTGTCAGTTTCTTTCTCCCCCCCCTCCCCTGTCAGTTTCTTTCCCCTCCCTCCCTGTTTCCTTCTCCCCCTTCCCTCCCTGTTTCCTTCTTCCCCCTTCCCTCCCTCCCTGTTTCTTCTTCCCCCTTCCCTCCCTGTTTCCTTCTCCCCCCTCCCTCCCTGTTTCTTCTTCCCCCTTCCCTCCCTGTTTCTTTTCTTTCCCCACCTCCCTCCTGTTTCCTTCTCCTCCTCCTCTTTCTTCCCCTCCCTCCCTCCCTCTTTCTTTCTTTCTTCTCCCCCTCCCTCCCTCTCTTTTTTTTTCTTCTCCCCCCTTCCTCCCTCTTTCCTCCCCCTCCCTCCCCTACCTGTGTGGTAGTGTGGCCGAGCCCAGTATAGTCCGACCGGTACAGGGAGCTGTTGTTTCCTGTACCCGGCCGGACTAACAGGAAGTGAACACTCAGTGTGCATTTCCTGTTAGTCCGGCCGGGTACAGGAGACAGATGCTCCCTGTACCCGCCGGCTATACTGGGCTCGGCCGCGCTACATAGAGGAAGCTGACAGGAGGGAGCGCTCAGCGCTTCCCTCCTGTCAGCCCCTCTCCTCAGGCTGCGCCCGGGCGGTGCGGTCCGCCCTCATGGACGCACCGCCCGGGAAAAGCTGCAGCCGCCTGAGGCTCTTTACAGAGCGCTCGGGCGGCTGCAGCATGAGCGGGGCCGGCGCTCCTGGCGCCGCCCCTTCCCAAGGGGCGCCCTAGGCGGCTGCCTAGTCCGCCTTACAGGTAGCACCGGCCCTGGGTAACAGTCTCTGTTCTGCTCTGTGTCAGTGTGTATCATGGTCTCTGAGGACAGGTGTCAATCCATATCTGCCAAGTGACCCTATGTAGGGGGACCAGTCCCTATTCTGCTCTGTGTCAGTGTGTATCAGGGAACCTTAGGACAGGTGTCAATCCATATCTGCCAAGTGACCCGATGTAGGGGGAACAGTCCCTATTCTGCTCTGTGCCAGTGTGTATCAGGGATCCTTAGGACAAGTGTCAATCCATATCTGCCAAGTGACCCTATGTTGGGGGACCAGTCTCTATTCTGCTCTGTGTCCGTGTGCATCAGGGGCTCTGAGGACAGGTGTCAATCCATATGTCAAGGTGTCAATATGTCATATGTCAGGTGTCAATCCATATTGATTGTGATTTAGGAATGTTAGGTGATTTCTGCCCTTTATGGATTAAAACCAGACTCTGTATCAACTGTGTAATTTTCCATGGGAGTTTTGCCATGGATTCCCCTCCGGCATGCCACAGTCCAGGTGTTAGTCCCCTTGAAACAACTTTTCCATCCCTATTGTGGCCAGAAAGAGTCCCTGTGTGTTTTAAAATTCGCATGCCCATTGAAGTCAATGGCGGTTCAGGCGGTTCGCCGGTTCGCGAACATTTGCGGAAGTTCGCCTTCGACGTTCGCGAACCGAAAATTTCGGGTTCGCGACATCACTAGTGCCACTAAGTTCAAACCCCCCAAATTATGTTCAGCTAAGTTTTCTGAGTAAAAGGACACCCCCATTGTATGTCTTTGCCACTATTCCGTGAAGCTACAGTGCCATATAGGAGACCAAGCCATATCAGTTTTTACCGAACTTTGAATTTTGACGCTGGGCTTATGTGCAATTTCCAAGCATCTTAGCAGGTTTTAAATTCAAACTACCCCACAAAAGCCTACCAAGTAGACACCCCAGGGTATTTCAAAAGGTATATTCTAAACCTTAGTGTCGGATCATTTTTTTGTTAGTTTGTACCAAGTCTAGTTGCAATGAGCATTTTTTTCTGCCTTTTTGACACACACTTGGAGATGTTACTGTATATTTTGCTATCCTTATGTGTGCTACGGCAGTATAACACCTAATATGTTGCTCAGCTATGTCATCTTAGTGCAACGATACCCCCATGTGTAGCTTTCTCAGGGTTATGTGGATGTTGAAGGGGCACATTGGAGACACACCATTCCATATTTTTCAAAAGTGGATGCTGGGCACAAGTCTCATTTTAGCAGCTCGGGACTGCAAATTACCTCTCAAAGGCCACATATATTTTTAAGTATAAGCAGCTCATCAATTCAAATTATGAACAAGTGCATACTATTTGTTGTGCAAAGGGGGAATAGTTGGGGTAAACTTATCCGGGGGTAGTACCCAGTCATCTGCGTCCCGGGCAAAACTGTCATGGATTCCGAAACCAAAACACAGACAGACCACAAAGAGAGAGAACACAGAGAGAGAAACTTGTAATACCGATCCTTAGAATGGCCAGGCTATACAAGCAGAGAATTGTCAAGGTACAAGCCGAGGTCAAAGGAGTAAAGAGAAACGGAACAACGATAGGACAGGCCGAGGTCAAGATTCAGAGATGACAGGATAAGCGGGAGACAAAGCCAAGATTCGGTAACCAATCAGACAGATGACTAAAAATCACACCCCAAAACTGGTCTACTTATTCGGCCTGGGTGTGAAAATGTTTAAAACAGTGGCCAATACATAGGCCGGGCTGAGAGGGGCAATCAGGGCAGTAATAGCTGGTCTCAGCTCTTAGCCCCTCTTGTAACACACCCTGTACCTTTTCTGGGGGTTGTAACGAAAATATACCCCAACACGCAGGATTTAAGCTAAACAAATGTCAGCACAGAGGGAAGGTACGTCTACCGGACCTTAGAGTGTCCGGACTCGACGTAAAGGAGAGAGATACAGAGTCAGGAGCGATCCGAGGTCAAGGGCACAAAGAGACAGCGTAAACTTGGACTAGCCGGGGTCTGGTACAGAGAAAACAGCAAGCCGGCAAACAGAACAGATAAGGATAAAGAGATAACGTAGTCAGAAACAAAACCAAGGTCAAGTACGAAGGAACACAACTGAACACAACAAGCGCTAAAGGGAACTGAAACAGAAACCACGATAGGGCAAGGAACTAAGGGAAAAAGGTGAGTATATATACCTAAACATCTAATATGATTGGTCCCTGTCACATCCACGCCCCCAAAAGGTAAGTGTATGGGGAGTGTGGCATGACAGGGACCAATGGGATGCCTTTTCCAATTTAGGCTCCCACTGTCCCTTTAAGAGCGCGCCCGAGACCCGCAGCGCGCTCTTAGAGTTAGCCGGGACACGTGTCCGCTTCTCGCGGTCACTGCCCGCCTTCCTGTTACAGCCGTCGGATGAGCCGCGCGCGGCTCGTGCAGCAGCAGGATCGCGCGCGGCTCGAACAGAGGACCCTGGAAAGGGTAAGTACCGCTACAGGGGTTTTGTTTTTTAGGGAGTGGTGGAATCTTACAGCAGAAGTGACCTGCCTCAATTCTTCTGCTAGGCTCCACTGATGTTCTCCTTGTGTGGCACTCAAGTAGCCCAGAAATGAGCTCAAACTGGAATGAAAGAAATGTCATCTTCAGCCCAGCATTTGCCTTTTTAAAAATGACAAAGGCATTGTGGATTGCCATCTGCATCAGATATATGCCCATTTTTTTATACCATGCCCTGGTCTTTCGCATGATCAAATCTGGCTGCATCAGTTGTTCGGACAGGTCAACGCCCCCCATATGCCGATTATATTGCCGTATGCAGACTGGCACTCGTTTACATTCCTCTCTGCCACGAACTGCGACCCTCCGAGTGTTTTCACCATGGATGGTGGTTAAGATGAAAACATCTTTTTTATCCCCGTGCTTGAGTGCCAGCAGTTCATTCTGGCAGAGAGCTGCTGTTTCCCCCCTTTTCATTTTTTTGTTCGCTTTGGGAAACCCGTGCGACTCTTCCGAATAGTGCCACAGGCCACGGTCTCGAAGCAGTACAACATTTTTAACAGTGGGATGCTATTATAAAAGTTATCGATGTATAAATGATAACCTTTATTAAGTAGTGGCATTATTAAGTCCCAGACAATTTTCCCATTTGTCCCTACTATATCTGGGCAACCTGGGGGATCAAGGTGACTATCCCTTCCTTCGTACACACGGAAGGTGTATACGTAGCCACTGCCACTTTCACACAGTTTATAAAATTTGATCCCATATTGGGATCTTTTGGATGGGATATATTGTCTAAACCCCAGTCTTCCCTTAAACTTCATGAGGGACTCGTCAATGGAAATGTTTTTATTGGGGGTATACATAGTGGCAAATTTACTGTTAAAGTGGGCAATTAAAGGGCATATTTTATAAAGAAGATCATACTGCGGATCACCTTTTGTTATTGTCACTAAAGTGCATAAATTGCAGTATGTCTTCATATCTTTCCCTCGTCATTGTCTTGGCAAAAATGGGGGTATTGCAAATAGGATGTTTAGAATTGAAACAATTCTGGGCACTGACCATGTTAATGGGGCTAATTAAAAAGCCCACAATACATCCTAATTGTGGGCTTTTTAATTAGCCCCATTAACATGGTCAGTGCCCAGAATTGTTTCAATTCTGGCACACTGGTTGGGTTCCATCTCTCTTTCCTGGAGATAAGACAGTCTGGATTGCATGCCAGATACTGATCCGCATAGAGATTAGTCTGGGTGATTATCTTCCCAAAAATCTCATCCCCCAAGAACAGCTGCATAACATCCAGCTCACTATAGCCAGACCGGTCAGCCTGTATGCCAGGATTGGCTGTAAGCACCGGGATGTCTGGGGAGAAATTATTAGGGGGTACCCAGTCATCTGCGCCATGTTCAGCATTAGGGGAATCGTCGATTTCCCCTGATGGTCCTGCAGTATATGGCACATAGTCCCTGTCCCCTGCGTCCCCTGCGTCACTCCCTGCGTCACTCTCTGAGGCAGTGTCAGTCACCTCTGAGTCGGCCGTTAACAGGGCATAAGCCTCCTCTGCACTATACTTTCGAAACATTGTTAATACAGTTAACACAGCTAACCAAACTTTAACTAAATAACAACTTTTTTTTTTTATTCCCTAATTCCCACTAAATTCCACCAACCCAAGTAACTAAATCACAAATTAATAAAATCAAATAATAAAATGTAACCCCTTAGGGTTACAAAAACATAAAATGTAACCCTTGAAAGTAAAAAAAAATAGATCACAGTACTGTGACCTGTATATTGATCACTGCTAGCAGTGATCAAGCAGCAGGGAAAGGGTTAATTTTTTTTTTTTTAATAAAGGGGAAAGGGATTAGGAACTTTTAATAGAACTTAACTATTCTTCTGGGACACAATGTTGCAACGATCCGTCTCAGCGATCACATGGGCTGGGATATTGGGATTTGCTGCTGCTGGTCTGCCCCTGATTCGGTGGCACCCAGCAACAGCATTAACCCTGCGATCGTCGGCACCACGGCGATCGGGGGTTAAGTTTAACGCGTGACGGACAAGGTCCGTCACTCGTCATTAACGCTTTCCCCTGAGTGATGGACCTCGTCCGTCACTGGTCGTTAAGGGGTTAACTACGTTATGTTATGTTATTTTCTCTAGGTCAAGTTCACTAAAAGGACAAATATAAATATATTTTGACATTGGGTCCTTCCTACAACCTTTGTCAAACTTAGGTGGGTTACTTTTGATGATATTGTATTCAATCAATTATGTCAAAATATTACTCCTCCTACTTCTAGCAGCTGGTGATGTCACAGCCAACCCGGGGCCCTTCACTTCATCCGCCCACACTAAGACACCCAGAAATCACACAAACCTCATCCACACACCTGCAGTTTATCCTTGTAACAAAATCCCTTATTAAACAGACCATGCGAACCAGCCTGTTCGGTTATTTGGATGATTACAGCGGGATTTTGTGCAAATAGCGAGAAAAGCAAATGATCTACCGAACCACCCGACCTCCCACTGAGGTCGTGTGGCGCCTATTAACCACCCAGACTGTTGCGGTTATCCACAGACTAATTGGGGAATAGCTGGTGGTCCATGTTCGTTTACCGAACACGTAGCAATCGCCATTTTGGATAGTCGAACACTCAGCTGTAAATGGCGAGGATTCCCTGGAACTAATTTCGGCTACTTATTTTGTCGAACACCGCTGCTACCTCTTCAAATCCTCGTTCGTACGGTGGAAAAACACATGAATGAAGGAGATACTACTTCACTCGTGCGCTGGAAGTATGCGAAAGTGACCGACCCCAGATAGCTATAGTATGGAACTTGTAGTCGGCTACAAACACATGAACGGCTGGCGAAAGCCAAACTTCAATCGACGTTTCTGAGAACTGTGTTTTTGTGATCTGAGCGCTATTCGCCTAGAATATGCACTCATATCCAAGCTATCTGGGGATATGTGGGACTTAAAGTTTATGTTATGTAAAAGGAAAGTTATAGATTTTTATGCTGTTTTGCTAAAATAAGAAAAGCCATGTTTCTTTCTACCTGGAGATAATTAAGGCTCTCTACCTTAAGTTAATTATCTCCACGATGGAAAAGAGGGAGTGATTTATGTAAAAGGGGAGTGCTTATAGCCACTGTGATTGGCTACTGTGATACTGTGATACTTTTGTCCCAGTCTTCCATCTGGTCCCCTAGGGGAGTGTCCACCAGGTAGGAGACCTGCATAAATACCGGGCGGGTAGCGCACAGTAAATCAGATTGTTTTATCCCTTCATGAAGTCTCGACTCATGTTTGGGGGATTGGGAGTTATAATCACTTAGTTTCAGCTGGATTTCGGGAGAAGCTGCAAGGATCAACGCTGCACAAATAGAAGGATCCTTTACAATCCTCATTTACCAACATTCAGTGTGCACTCTGGAACGCCCGCTCAATCTTTAGTAATATGAAATCAACAGCTATACATGACCTTGTCATCTCTAACTCACTCACAATACTGGCACTCACTAAGACCTGGCTGTCCCCCTGTGATGCCGCTACTCCCGTGTGACAAACCTAGCCACTTCAGATTATGCTGTTATATGTCGACAGGTTGTCCTAGAAAAGCTTTTTATCAATTCTGTTAGTTTATGTATTCATCTATACCTGTAATAAAGAGCATTCGTATGCTAACGACTGAAAGCCGCTAGCATTGATATGGTAGTTTCAAGAACAGTGACTTTCCACACTGTTCGTGAAACGAACAAAGTGCCGAATGGGAGCGGTACTTTCCCAAAGTGTGCGCTCAGACCCCAATTCTCCCACACTCCCAGACGCGACTGTAAAGGAGGTGGTGTAGGCATCCTTCTCTCCCCTCAATGTACCTTTCAACGTATCCTCCCTACCCCTGCCCTCTTCTTTACTTCCTTTGAAGTTCACACTGTCCGCCTTTTTAAGCCCACTTCTTTAAGAATTGCCATTATCTTTCGCCTTCCTGGTCATCCTAGGCTATTCATTGAACACTTTTCTTCTTGGCTACCCCACTTTCTCTCCTCTCGCACTCCCTCCCTCATACTTGGGGACTTTAACATCCCAATCAACAACCTCAATTGCCCTGATACCTCCCGCCTGCTCTCTGTAACCTCCTCCTTTGGCCTCACGCAGTTGTCTACTTCAGCAACTCATACAGCAGGAAACACTCTTGACCTCATCTTCACCAATATATTTACCACCTCTACTCTCCATTGTTCCATTTCCTTTGTCTGACCACCATTTGATAACATCAGCATATCTCGTTCCCAAATTTCACCACCCTCAAGTCTCCAATCTTGCAGAAACCTCAACTTCCTTGATCTCCAGCATTTCTCCACCAAACTCCAAACTCTTCAACCTCCCTCTAAAACTCAACTCTCTCCTCTCAACTCGACATCATGGCACCTCTCGCAATTAAACGCAGCAAGCACCCCCAATTACAACCATGGCACACCAAGCTCACCCGTTACCTCCAAAAATGTTATAGAACTGCTGAACGTTGCTTTGCATCTGACTTCCTCCACTATAAATTTATGCTACGCTCCTACAGCCTGGCTCTCTCCACTGCAAAAGTATACTACTTTAACACCCTCATAAGTACACTGTCCCATCAACCCAAACACCTATTTCACATTTTTGATGCTCTTCTTCACCCTTTTACTCTCCCTCCTTCTACCACCGTGTCCGCCACAAACTTTGCATCTCTACAATCAGAGAAGAGATCGCTAATCTCTCTCCTTCCCCTACCACTACATCACCCAACCCCACTCCATCCACCATTCTACACTCATTCGCACCTGCTACAGCAGAAGAGGTTCGTCCTCCCGCCCCACCACCTGTTCCCTCGATCCTATTCCCTCGCATCTCATCCGCACTTTGTCTCCCTCTCTTGCTCTTCCTCTCACTAAACTCTCCAATCTCTCCCTTTCCTCTGGCACATTTCCCTCTCCCTGCAAACATGCAACTGTAACCCAAATTCTGAAAAAGCCCAGCCTTGACCCCAACTCCCCATCCAACTACCGCCCTATCTCACTATTGCCATTTGCCTCCAAGATCCTCGAGAGAGTTGTGTACATCAAATTGGCTGACTTTCTCAAATACAACTCTCTGCTGGAGCCCCTTCAGTCTGGATTCCGCGCTGGTCATTCTGTCGAAACGGCTGTAACCAAAGTATCCAACGATTTAATCGCTGCTACATCTCGCAGCCATTACTCTATACTAATTCTCCTTGATCTTTTCTGCTGCCTTTGACACTGTTGATCATCAACAGCTTCTTTGCATTCTCCATAATTTTGGTCTACGGGATACTGCTCTCTCCTGGTGCTCCTCCTACCTCTCCCAGCGCTCTTTCAGTATTTCTTTCTCTGACTCTGTCTCTTCCCCCCCAACCACTCTCTGTCGGCATCCCCCAAGGCTCTGTCCTTAGTCCTCTATCTTCACTGCCTCCCTTGGTAAACTCATCAGCTCCTTTGGCTTCCGTTATCATTTCTATGCAGATGACACGCAAATCTACCTGTCCTCTCCTGATCTCTCTCCAACCCATCTTGACCCATGTCTCTGACTGCCTCTCTTCGATCTCCGGCTGGATGGCTGCTCACTTCCTTAAACTCAACCTTTCCAAAACAGAACTTCTGGTCTTTCCTCCCTCAAGTGTTACTACTCCTGTGTCTGTCTGTCTCCAAGTCAACGGCGCTACCATCACCTCTACCTCACAGGCTCGCTGCCTGGGTGTTCTTTTTGATTCCAACCTCTCCTTCACCCCTCATATCCAATCAATCACCAAAATCACAACTACCGAACATATTCCATTCGTGCAATGTATCCCCAGATAGCCTGGATCTGAGTGCATATTCTTAGCGAATAGCGCTCAGATCCCATACGTACAGTTCAATCGCCATGGAGTCAAAGTCTTTTACAGTCTTTCGGTATGCGATTGACTCCATGGGAAGGCTATCTGGGTTAAGTCCATTCGTGTAGTCCAAACTACATGCTTTTTTCGACTGAGAAGGGCGGTCTGTGGTTTTAGCGGTGTTCGACAGAAAAAGTGTCCATTTTTAGTTCCATAGAATCTGTGCCGAACACCGCTGGTCCTTCGCATGGTTTAA